CGCAGCACCCCAACTGCTCTGCTCCACACCGCTTCCCCAAGTCTGCTGCTCGTCAGTTTCAGCAGCGGCAACAGCAGACTTGGGGAAGCGGCGTGGAGCAGATCCAATTGTCCGACTGGCCGGAGCACTTCCGGGTTCCAGTTGGTGCCAGACTATCGGGAGTGCCAGACCACTGGATGCCGGACAATTGGAGTTTTACTGTAATTGGGAGCTCCTCTTCTGCAAGATACCAGTTTAGTCATATACATGATTGAAGCACAAAGTAAGCCACCACAGAACTGTGCTCTGATTGAAAAAAAATGCTGGCAATCGTTATTTTCAGTTCTTTATTTCTTGAATGCTTATAGGCAGAAATCAGTATCAGTATAAACAGGTTTCTGTCCCATTGCTTCCAACAATTACTAGAAGCATTGTGCCTTCAGAAAAAAGACCATGAAATTGTGAGGGTGCACATTAAAAGTGAAATACTGGTTAGGTTTAAAAACAAAAACTTATTGGACTAATTTTAAGAGCATCTATAAATAGAAAAAAATGAGGCGCTGCAGGAGGAGGTATTTACACAACTACTCAAATATTATTCATTTCTAGGGGGAAAAAAGTGTTCAACAGGCTCAGATGAGAAACACAAAATAACCCAAGTTCGCCAGATTTTAAAAAGAGTTTTAAATGAGAGGCCAACAGAAAAAGCACACACTTCTTTAAGGATAACATCTTAGTGCAACTATCAAGATGCAACTTCTACCTATGATGGGATTCTATGCACAGGACATGATGACGACACTGGAAATGCTAGGTGTAATCTACCTGAGCATTGAGAAGTTTAAGGATGGGGCAGAGGATATCCAATTTTGACAAGACAAGAATACTGTCACCTGAAGATAAAACAAAATACAGGACTATGTAGCACTTTAAAGACTAACAAGATGGTTTATTAGATGATGAGCTTTCGTGGGCCAGACCCACTTCCTCAGATCAAATAGTGGAAGAAAATAGTCACAACCATATATACCAAAGGATACAATTAAAAAAAAAGTGAACACATATGAAAAGGACAAATCAAATTTCAGAACAGAAGGGAGATGCAGGGGCTGGGAGGAAGGTAAGTGTCTGTGAGCTAATGATATTAGAGGTGGGGAAAGGTAAGTGTCTGTGAGCTAATGGTATTAGAGGTGATAATTGGGGAAGCTATCTTTGTAATGGGTAAGGTAGTTGGTGTCTTTGTTGAGCCCGACACCTAGAGTGTCGTTGAGACAGTGTCCTTTCTGGTTGAAATGGCAAGAAACTGTTTTTTCTTTGTGATCCTGTCTAATATCTGTTTTGTGGCCCACAAAACAGATATTAGACAGGATCACAAAGAAAAAACAGTTTCTTGCCATTTCAACCAGAAAGGACACTGTCTCAACGTCTTAATTACCTGCATCCTACTCCAGAAGCCTTTCAAATCTGCACTTGAAAGGGAATCCTCTGAACTGTCATTCATGCTAAGATTTGACACTCTAGGTGTCGGGCTCAACAAAGACACCAACTACCTTACCCATTACAAAGACAGCTTCCCCAATTATCACCTCTAATACCATTAGCTCGCAGACACTTACCTTTCCCCACCTCTAATATCATTAGCTCACAGACACTTACCCTCCTCCCCCTCTCCCCCGCATCTCCCTTCTGTTCTGAAATGTGATTTGTTCATATGTGTTCACTTTTTTTAATTGTATCCTTTGGTATATATGGTTGTGACTATTTTCTTCCACTATTTGATCTGAGGAAGTGGGTCTGGCCCACGAAAGCTCATCATCTAATAAACCATCTTGTTAGTCTTTAAAGTGCTACATAGTCCTGTATTTTGTTTCAGCTACACCAGACTAACACGGCTACATTTCTATCACCTGAAGATAAGGTATTCATGTGTGAAATTTGCAGTTGGTATAGGAAATAGAACATAAAAGAACCAAAGACACATGATGTTTCTGATTGCTTTGGTGAAAATAGGACTTAAGTATTTAAATTAATGGGAAAGACTATCTTTCAGAAGATAACTCCTTGCATTTTCTTGTACTGAACTGCTGAACACCACACATTAATGACATTGTCACCTGATCAAATAGTTTGTTCACCTTACTTCCAACATCCAATAAACTTTGTGTAAAAAAATTAATGAATGCAAAGTAACTGCAATACCAACCACAAAAAACACAAGTAGGCCAAAATACAAGAAAAAAAAAAAGCTATGAAAAGAATGTCAAATGGTTCATTCCAATGCAAATGGTTGAAAACAGATTTCAAGAAAAATAAAAGGGCCAGCTTTACCAATGACATCAAATCTATGTATTGTAAACTTGTTTTACAGGTAGAATAAAAGATATCAAAAGGAAAAATAAGGATAACATTGGGTTACTATTTCTTGAGGGCATCCAGAAAGTTAGGGGCAAAATTAACAAGCCCACCTAATCAATGACAATAGGAAACGCCGGAACACCAAAAACAGGCTCCTTTGCAGGGGCCACAGGTGTATTGCAATAGTACTGTATGACCAGAAAGCCATTGGATTCACAAATTATAGCTAGTGTGAGATGTCTCATCCTGATTTACTGCTGCAGATGTGTCTATTTGTATATTTTAAAAGTTGGCTCTATCCATTGTTTATGGCTGCTTCTTGATGGATATACTGTGATCACAGTAGGTTTTTTGTTGGGGGAAAAATCTAACAGCCATTAATCCCTGCTATGTCATAAAAATACAGCCTTTTGTAACCCTGAGAAGTCATGTGACTGAGGCCAGGAAATATATTTGTCTCACCTGCTCTGACAAGCCCTGAGAAAATATACCAGCATTACTATACCTCTTCCCATAGACACTCTGTCCAGAATACAAATGTACACACAGAAAGTTAAATTATCTCAGTATAATTATACCAGTAGTGTCATACTAGTAAACCTCCCCATATAGACAACTCCTTACAAGCAATCTTTCATATTGCCTCCCTTGCAATACCTTCCTAGGATTACAAGGGCCAGAATGAATATACCAGCATTACTATACCTCTTCCCATAGACACTCTGTCCAGAATACAAATGTACACACAGAAAGTTAAATTATCTCAGTATAATTATACCAGTAGTGTCATACTAGTAAACCTCCCCATATAGACAACTCCTTACAAGCAATCTTTCATATTGCCTCCCTTGCAATACCTTCCTAGGATTACAAGGGCCAGAATGAT